TTTTGTCGTGGAAACACACGCAGCATACTTTTGGGTCAGGTCAGCAGAAGCTTTTATTTAAAAGAAACTACAGCTGTAGGGGGGGATTCCAAAGTGACATGGATTTCCCAAGCACTTGGAAGGGGTCCCCCCCCAAGAGCAAAATCAGGAGGCTTATATACTTTTTAACAGTTGCTTACAACTCACATGATCATATAGTAAAATTAGCATAAAAAGCGGCTATAATATTACTTTATTATTTCTTTGCTGTAATCAGGATGGGAACTAATGGGGGAGGCGAGGTAAGTTCACAAACCTCCTTCTTGTACCTGGAAATCAGATTTGTACATACTTTTTTGCTATCTTCAAGGCCGCGGTGAGCGAAGCAGTTGCAGAGGAGTTACAAAGAACAAACACTTTCTCTTATCTGTTCTACTATACAGAGCCAGCAATTCTCCACAAAGCGGTTATGTCATCTTATAACTAAAATAATCAAAGTTTAAGGCATATATTTTTTCTGATTCCACATTGCTGTGCCCCTCCAGCCAGGGGTGGCACACAACATCCATGGATAAAGTTAGACAAGTTTTCTAATACAAGACATTCCTCATTAAGTGCCAGTTCTTGACATTTGTACCTGAAAGTCCAGCTTACACAGGATCCATTGCCCTCTTATTGGGGCTATTCAAACCTCTGAGATCTGCTTTCAGAGCAAACTGAGTCTGCCTGCATCCACCTGGATCTAATGCACTTGTATTATATTTCTTTCTCCCTGGGTGTCAGGCACCCAGAACAAGACATGCTTCTCTTGTTGAGAGAAAAGTTATTAAAATTCCCTTCAACCTCTTTCAGTTTCTGGGACCGTGGATAAAGTTGTTACCTTTCTGCCAGCAGCAGCCAGAGCTCACTCAGCCCCGATCAGTTAGTTTTGGGGGGGTTTCAGAAAAGGACAGTCCATTTCAGTCAACCAGACCATGCCCCTCGCTCACAAAACTCCCCTGTTTGGGCCGCAACTGCCCTACACTCTCCATCCTGGTTGCTAGTACTGTGTTTACTTCCCTTGGGGGCTGGACTCAATGATCTTCTGAGGCAGGAATGGGCAGGGTTCAGCTCCATATGCAGCACTGCAGGACAGCCACTGGCTGGATACAGTCAATTGGGGGGCACCCACCTGTGGGCGAGATCCAATCAGTTGGTAGGCTGGATCGGGCCTGCAGGCCATATTTTGCCCCTTCCCCTGCTTTTTATGGTACTTGTTGGGGAACTGGTGGTGGCTGATGGCCGTGTTGGATGTACCACTGATGTTTCATAAATTTCATAGACATTAGGGCTGGAGGGGACCTGCCTGTGCCTGCCAATGGCCCTGGCCAGTAGTCTCACTGCTCCAGTGGGGCCACTCCCGGTGTGGCTGCAGCCACCTAGGTACTGCTCAGCTCCCACCATCTCCAGTGGCTCCTCCTTCTGCCCCTGCCTCTCCCGACATCGGGTAGTTCAAGGAAGTGGCAGAGGTCATAGGGACATGTGCTAGACACCACACGCCCAGCCAGGCAGGGGGAAAGCTGCAGCCTAGCAGCTACTGTCCCAGCACACAGGGCTCCAGATCCTGGCTGCCTTCCACCCACTCTGTCTGCCTGGTAGGATGAGCAGCCACCAAATGGGTGGAAGGCAGTCAGGAGCTGCTCGGCTGTAGCTAAACAAAGGTGGTGCGGGGCCCTATCCCAGGGCAAGAGGGTGGTGTAGGCCCCAATCCCAGTGTGTGTGCGTGGCGGGGAGGGAATGGGATGACAGACAAGGCTGCAAAGAGCATGCGTGTAGGTCTGATCCAGCCCACGGACCAGCTCTGCACCACTGCTCTGGCCTGTGTGGCCAAAAGCTTAAGCTCTGCTGGTGCAGACCAGCAGTTCTCAACCAGGGTGCTGAGATCCTTTCAAGGGCTTTGCAGCTTGCTGCACCATATTTAGTGCTGTACAGTTCACAAGACAAATAGGATAAACCCAGGTTTTTCAAAGAGGAATCCATAGCACTGAAAATGTTTTGACCAGCTGCATCAAAAGAATGGTTCAATGACTTCTCTGTCATCACAGAACGGGCAAATGCTCTGGGCTGACATTTTCCAAGGGGCACCCCGATGCAAATGAGGCCTGCCCACAAGCTGAAGAGGATGAGACCGGCTGGAAGAGTTGTGGGCAACGTTTCTCAGAGGCAGCAATGGGCCGGTTCAGGTGGAGATGCCAGGGCGCTTGGACCTGCCTGCCTCTGCCGCTGCCTGATG